ATTGGCAGGCGAGTGCCTTGAGTGCCTTTCAAGACACTCCCCTGCCAGTTGGGGTGGTTTGAACAACCTCCAAATGAGAACCATGTCTATCCTTGACATAGCCGTTTCCTCTTCGGAGTTTTGGGCATATTATATAAGTGATTTCCAAACAGAAAGCAGAGCCTTTCCGACCACAAAGAGGACACAAGGGTTGTCAGAGCAGGTCATGGAGACCTTACTATGAGCATCTTGAGCTCCGAGGGATGTGGCAGCCCAGGTGAGCAAAGGGAAGCAGCTGCTTCTCCTCTCCAGCCCTCTCCACAATCCAGGCCTTTGAGATTTACTGTAACGTTAGAAAGGAAATGAACTGCATGATGTGCTGGGGAGTGTGGTGTGTGGGTGCTGTGAGGAGGCCCCCAGAGAGTCCACAATAAAAATATTTGAGAAAATAGCCACTGCACAGTAAGGAATCAGAAACGCATTTAGATATCTCCAGAGACAAAACACTCAGGACAGCCAGACCCCTCTTCAGTAAGCTTTTTATAAGTGTACTCTCTATTCTTATTTTCCTCAGTTCAGTTTATCAGATGACATTAATAAACAATCATATAAATACATGTTGTGGGGCCATATTGACAATTAATGAGATTAATGCAAAAATATGTTAAGATCTATGCTGGCTGGGTGCAGTAGCTCATGCCTGTAATCCCAGCACTTTGGAGGGCCAAGGCAGGTGGATCACTTGAGGCCAGGAGTTCGAGACCAGCCCAGTCAACATGACAAAACCCTGTCTCTACTAAAAATACAAACATTAGCCGGGCGCAGCGGCAGGTACCTGTAATCCCAGCTACTCAGGAGGCTGAGACTCAATAAATTGCTTGAGCCCAAGAGGCAGAGGTTGCAGTGAGTTGAGATTTTGTCACTACACTCCAGCCTGGGCAACAGAGAAAAGCTACTGTGTCTCAAAATAAAATAAAATAAAAGCCACATCGCAAAAAATAGCAAAAAAATAGTTTAACTAATAATCACTATCATTCATATTGTGCAAACACACAATATCCTTAATACCTACTAAGTGCCAGTCATTATTGGGCACTTCACATATTTAATTTTTGCCTTCACAACAGCCCTGTGAGGTAGGTGATAATATTCACCCCTTTTATGGAAGAAATGATTGTGTCTCAGAAAAGCTACATGACTTTTCCAAAGCCCCCTAGAAATAAAACTCTGAACTGAGATCTTTGATTCTATAGCTCTTGATTTTTTTCATGTCAGCATTTTGACAGTTCAGCAAACAGTCCACATGGGCAGTTAGAAAGAAGAGGCTAATGAAAAGGTTATTATTAAGTATCGATTTCATTCTTACAAAATGTTGCCTAGCTGGGTTTAGGTTACCTACATTAGTAGTGTCCAGAGCCTACACACTTTAAGTTGAAGCTACATAGACGAAGTAAAGATTTATCATCATATTTTTTAAAATCATTGTTGAATTGGTATCAAGGTCAACCATCATTTAATGCTATACAGCCTCAACTTGCCTGATAATTTGGTCTTATTCACTGTGGTCATTTCTGCCATTAAAATCTCTTATTTTCAATATTCATGCACACACACAAACCCTACACACACACACACACACACACACACACCAACAAATTGGATTTCCGCAAGAGAAAGAAAAGATAGCAAAATTGAAAGTAACTCTTCTTATGTATCTTTGGGTTAATTTGTCCATACTTGATTTTTGGGTTTTTTTTTTGGAAAATTATCTTCCAAGTTTAAACAAACTTTGAACCCCCTCTGCTAAAAATTTTCTACAAAAAGAGTTGAAAACAACAACTACTGCATATAGTTCCCAGAAATGATTAGGCAAAAACAAATTTAAAAAAATAAATTTGATCTGGATTTTTTTTTTTTTTTTTTTTTTTTGAGACAGAATCTTGCACTGTCATCCAGGCTGGAATGCAATGGCATGATATCAGCTCACTCTAACCTCTGCCTCCCAGGTTCAAGTGATTCTCCTGCCTCAGCTTCCCGAGTAGCTGGGATTACAGGTGCCCACCACAACACCTAGCTAATTTTTTGTATTTTTATTGGAGACAGGGCTTCACCGTGTTGGCCAGGCTGGTCTCGAACTCTTGACCTCGTGATCCGCCCACCTCGGCCTCCCAAAATGCTGGGATTACAGGCGTGAGCCACCGCGCCCGGCCTGATCTAAATTTTTATGTTAGATATGGACATTAGAAAATAACCTACTGGGCTGGGCGCGGTGGCTCAAGCCTGTAATCCCAGCACTTTGGGAGGCCGAGGCGGGTGGATCATGAGGTCAAGCGATCGAGACCATCCTGGTCAACATGGTGAAACCCTGTCTCTACTAAAAATACAAAAAATTAGCTGGGCACGGTGGCGCATGCCTGTAATTCCAGCTACTTAGGAGGCTGAGTCAGGAGAATTGCCTGAACCCAGGAGGCGGAGCTTGTGGTGAGCCGAGATCACGCCATTGCACTCCAGCCTGGGTAACGAGCGAAACTCCGTCTCAAAAAAAAAAAAAAAAAGAAAAGAAAAAAAAGAAAATAACCTACTGTGTATTATCATCTCAATTGATTTTTCAGAAAAAAAGTATAAAAATCTTTTTAAGCTGGAGTTTAAATGTAAGTCGTAAGTGACCCAACTTCGATTCTGATGTCTATGCCAGAAAATGTTACACTCTAGTCACGTTTTCTCCTTTGGAATCACATTAAACATTTGCGTCCTTACTAAAATGCTTGGGAATGGAATGGCCCTAAAATGGGAGCTGATGGGACAGAGTAGCGGCTGGTCAGAAGTAGAAGTGAAGAAACAGGGGAGTCTCCTTTGAGGGCAGTGGGGTTCTGGGGACTTGTTGGTAGGAGAAACAGAGTCCAGGGAAACAAATGTTCTTGGGCTACAAAAAGGCTTTTCAGTCTGTAACAAAAATCCAATTCAACTTACAAATTAACCTTTTCTTAGTTCGCTAATAATCTGAAAATAATGTCTACATTAAGCTAGAAAGTAAAACCATTCAATGAAGAAATTAAAAATATCAATATGAACTAAGAACTTTCTGACCGTAAATGTATAATAGCTCTTTTGTCAATTTGTAAAATAAGTCCAGGAAATATTTTGATAGATTAATACTCCAATAAGTAGCAAGTTACATTTTTCCAGCACAGTAATACAGTCTGCTTTATTGAGCACCAAACAGAGAGTTGCAAAAATACCCACTGGATAACAATCTCTACACTGTTAAATTTTAGCAGGTGGAACTTCAGCTTGCCAAAGACTCAAAATGAGGAAACTGCTCTTCCAGCCATCTCCAGACTGCTAACCCTTCATTTGGTGAACTGAAAACTGTAGGAAAATTGTCCTTAAGTGTGTGATTAGATCTTGAACCAATCTTTTGTCTTCTACTACATTCCAAAGAAGTCTTTATACCAGGCAAATAACTCAATGGTACATTATAAAATGGATAAAGGAGGACTGGTGGAACGTCAGTAAATGCCGATCATGAGATCTCTGAAGCTGAATCTTACTTCTGCAAATTCATCCAGTTTACCCAAAAGACAATAATAGAAATTACTGGACACATCAAAGAGAGGAGGCCCCTTTATAGGAGAGAATAAAATAAAATAATTAAGCTACATGTGAAAATTTACTTCATTGCAGTTAGTTTCTTCTACTAAGTTGTCTTCACATGTTTTAAATTAAATATCACTTGCCACTAAACAATATAAGGAGTCTTATCCTGCCTGAAAAGAAAAATAGTCACAAGCATTATATTAGCTCCGTGAGCTAGAAAGACATGAGTTGTAAAACATGTAATATAGGACCGCAGTGGTTATTTGCAACTGAATAATGTATTGCATGTCACACAATGTACGATAGTTATCTGGGCTGCTGAAGTTATAGCTAAGGAATTATTAGTCTCCCTTATCTGAAAGCCCAAATGTAATATGAGATCAAAGGGAGGAATAATTATGCAGGAAACAACATCTAAAAAAAATGCCTCTGATGATGAAAAACTGATTTATAAAGTTCAGGATTAATAAATACTGAGTATCATTTTAGGTTACCCAAGTTGGATTCAACGTTTTTAGCAATATTTCCAAGTGACTATGTGCAGCAGAAATAAACACTAGAAAATTACCAAACTGCCAAACCAGAGAGTCATTCTGGAGATGGAACAAAACAATATGTGAAGTTATTTTTAGCCATTCACATGGTATGAGAAACATCCATATAATAAAGACAACATGATTACGTGACTCGGTTTCATTGAGAAGAGAAGGCCCTCAAAGTCTACTCCAGAATCCCCCTAGACAAAACTGAATCCCTCTAAGCAAAGGAGGAGACAGTATGAGATTTCTGGTCCCTGCCAACTGATGACATCCCGTGTTTTCTGAATCGGCCCCTGGTGACTTAAGGGTGGGTACATGAAGCATTTGAGGAAGATTGATGGGTGGTTAAAACCAACAGCCAGTCATGGAATAAGGTACCAGTCTAGGTTACTTTACTCCCTTACCAAAGTATGTCAACAAAGAAAACTGTAGGAATTCATTAACTACTGATTACGAGATATAATTTACTACCTACCAAGACCTACAGAGGCAGAAAACACCACATGGCTTCCCCATCTTGCATAGGCTTCCCTAATAAAAATTCTTCCCTCAAAAATTTCTCCATACCAAACTCAATTAAGATTAAGTGAAAATTTTTCATTCAACACTCTATACAATATTAACTACTTAAACATTTAAAACTCGGTATTTGCAAAGAAGGGAAAGAAAGATGAATGATAGTATCTCTGAGTGGGATTAATTAAATACTATTTAAATCACTCTTAAATATTAAGAGTGATTTTTAGCTGCTTTTTATCTTTTATTGAACACAATAAGCATATATTACCTGTATAAAGTCAGGGGGGAAAAAAGTTGTGAGCACTATCCACAATAAGGACTTCAAGTATAGGGAACAGATGACTTTTCATTCCCCCTTTTACTTACTTATATGTCTCCCTTTGCAAACGCAATCATGTTTCTAATAGTTTCCACTTCTCTCTGTTGACTCTGGAATGTTCTACGAGCACTTGGGTCTCATTTGTTATGCCTACAAATGGGAAAAAAAATATCTGGAGATATTGTCATGTAGTGTTAGGTTAAGACTTTAGCAAGCCAAGTGAAGATATGATCTCCCAGCTATGCCTACAGGATAACAACAGCCATTAATTTTCTCCTGATTTAAATATATGATCTTTTGTGACCATTTACCTTACTGTGGTCTAATAATGTAACTGTAATATTAATTAGTTCTATGCAATCACCATTCTACAGAAAAACAGTACTGAAACAAATCACATTCTTTTCACATTTTTCACATTTTAAAATTCCAGGGACAATATAGCTGATTGTGGTGAAGAAGTAAGTAAACACATATAGTTAATACAGACAGCAAGAATACAAAACCAACTCTGGATAAGAAGTTTGTTTCATATCAGCCACGGTTAAATTTGAATGATCTTAATGTCTTCTTTTACCTTCTGTCAAGACTGTCCTATCACCAAAGCTCTCCCTGACCACGCTCCAGAGATTTCCCTAAATTTCCTTGGCCCCATCTGGGGTTTGCACACCCTGTCCATTTGGACTACCTTGTACCAGTGACAGCCAGATATACAAGTGACACATATTGGGAAATCCAATTGGGAAAGCTGGACAGATGATGTAGAGGGTTAGATGTAAAGATACATAATCTATCATTATCCTGTTTTTCAGAATGAATTCCTTATGCCATTTTCCAGGCCCTCCTCACCCCACAACACCCTCTCTGCTTATCTCAGTGTCTGGTACCATGTACAGCAAATATTCTTGTTTGGTTGATTCAAAAGACAATGTGCGTGGCCTTACTTTCTCAATCTGCCAACCCACCATCCTTACCTCAGTCCAGCCACAGCTCTGCTGTCACAACTGGGGAGACAGCATGTTGGAATCAAGTTCTGGCTGGGAGCCAGAACATCCAAATACCAGGTTCCAGTTCTGCCAATTCCTACTAGTGTGCCCTTGGACAAGGTGTTTCACCTTCTGGGCTGCCATTTTCCCACTTGTAAATCAAAGTTCCAGGCCAGGCAAACTTTAAGGTCTACTTCAGCTCTTAAGTGCTGTCATTTCCATGTTTAGAGCCTTATTTAGAGCTTCCCTGTCCACTACGGTGTCCAGCTACTAGCTCACGGGGCCGGAGGGGGGGGGTATTTAATTAAATTTCACTGAAACTAAACACAATGAAAATTCAGTTTTCAGTTGCACTAGACCATTTCAAGTTCTCAGTAGCTACATGTGACTAGTAGCTACTGGTTTTGGACAACAGATATGGAACATTTCTATCATGGCCAAAAGCTTAATTGGACAGGTCTGGAGTAAAGTGATATATTAAATATCATATTTGTCCCTCTAGTGGTGTGCCAACAGATCTAATTAACTTCAGTTAAGTATATTACTCTCATTTCATTGTCAGTTTTCATACTCATAATGCACATATTACAAATGCAACATGTACTTTATCTTAAATGGCAGTCACTTACAAATGTTCCTTCTACTTAGAAAAATAGAGCTACAAGAATCACAACTAGAGCAGCAAGCTGAAAAGCAAGAGCCTAAGATCCACCATTCCCATCCAAATTCCCACATTCAGCCAGGCCGAACTCTGTTCTCCCACCCCTCACACTTGGCAGTCTTTTATGCACATGTCTTTGTTGGTCTGATTTCTTCCATTAGACGATTTCTCTTTCCTCTCATGTCCCTCCCTAGGTCCAAATTCATCAAGATCCTTTCCATAGTTATGCTGCGGCAAAGCTGGGCAGAACTCCATCCAAATGCAGCCATGGTGGGTTAGCAACAGGGATCAGAATGGGCGTTTAAATAAGTTGCATAAAGGAAATACTCAGGCAGCCTGGTAGCATGCGACCTTGCCTCAATTTGCACTATCAGATGTGAGACAGCTACATGGTGAATTTGCCAAGGCTGGAACTGCCTGAGAAGGTAGTAAATCAGCTCACCAAAATACATCAAAAAGTAAAATGAGGGGACAAAATCAGTCATGAAAGAAGGATTCCTTGGGTTATTAGCTGCTGAGATGGTCTGTTCATCATGTGCATTTGGAGAGATGCCAAAATTCTCTGCCCAGCAGACCACCCAACCCTAGTGGACAGCATGGAATCAGACTATGTGAGCACGTGAAGTGTCGGCCCCAACACCAGGGAAAGGTAAACTGTTGGCAGGGGCAGGACTCCTTTCCTCAGCTCTGACTGACAGTTTCCAGTCACAAACTAACAGTCAAGGTGTCCTTTGTATGAATCACTGCACTGTAAGGAAGTCTGTCCTGCTGTGATTTGCAACTCCAATTGTCTGGTACTCCAGGACAGATGCCACCATCCCTTATCTATTGAAAATCATGTCTTCCTCCACAGACCTGCCAGAACACTTTATATCATTCTTTTTTTTATAATTTTTTTATTTTTATTGCGTTTTAGGTTTTGGGGTACATGTGCAGAACATGTAAGATAGTTGCATAGGTACACACATGTCAGTGTGTTTTGCTGCCTTCCGCCCCCTCACCCACATTTGGCATTTCTCCCCATACTATCCCTCCCTAGCTACCCCCCGCACTGTCCCTCCCCTATTCCCCCCAATAGACCCCAGTGTGTAGTACTCCCTTCCCTGTGTCCATGTGTTCTCATTGTTCATCACCCGCCTATGAGTGAGAATACGCAGTGTTTCATTTTCTGTTCTTCTGTCAGTTTGCTGAGAATGATGTTCTCCAGATTCATCCATGTCCCTACAAATGACACGAACTCATCATTTTTTATTGCTGCATAATATTCCATGGTGTATATGTGCCACATTTTCCCAGACCAGTCTATCATCAGTGGGCATTTGGGTTGGTTCCAGGTCTTTGCTATTGTAAACAGTGCTGCAATGAACATTCGTGTGCATGTGTCCTTATAGTAGAACGATTTATAGTCCTTTGGATATATACCCAATAATGGGATTGCTGGGTCAAATGGAATTTCTATTTCTAGGTCCTTGAGGACTTGCCACACTGTCTTCCACAATGGTTGAACAAATTTACACTCCCACCAGCAGTGTAAAAGTGTTCCTATTTCTCCACATCCTCTCCAGCATCTGTTGTCTCCAGATTTTTTAATGATCGCCATTCTAACTGGCGTGAGATGGTATCTCAATGTGGTTTTGATTTGCATCTCTCTAACATTCTTGAGATACTTACGATGCACACTTACTGTTTCCTGTCCATTTCTTAATTCCTCTACAAGACTTTAAGTTATAATTAGTACTTTGCAATTCTTCTATATACCAGCATTTTAGTACAATGAATAACTTTCTAGGGGTTGAATAAATATGGAATCTAACAAGAAGTGGATGACTCGGTGAAGTGAATAAATGGATTTATGAATGAATATCCTATAGCTAATCTGATTGCTACAGCCCCAAAATAATCCAGGTCTTACGGTGTTTCACCTTTACCCAGTCTTTCATATATGACTTATTTAAATTCTCTTTCTTTAAAGAGACATGTCATGCTGGTCACACATAAGAGTAAATGTCCAGCAACAGTGTGAGGATGTGCTGTTGATGTGTAGAGTAGGTTGAACACTACTAAGGAATGCTATTCTGAATTAAACTGTACCTTTTCTGCTTAGTGCTTTTTTCATTTAAAATAATTATGGTAATTCTTTTGCATTTTTTAAAATTATTATGGGTACATACATGATAGTTGTACACATTAATGGGTACATGTGATGTCTTGATAAAGGCATACAATGTGTAATGATCAAATCAGAAAAATTAGGGTGTTCATTGCCTCAAGCATTTATCATTTCTTTGTGTCAGGAACATTATAATTCCACTCTTTAGTTATTTTTAAATATACAAGAAGTTATTGTTAATTATAGTCACCCTGTGTGCTACAGAAAACTAGATCTTATGCCTTCTCACCGTGATTTGTACCCATTTACCATCTCTACTTTATTCCCTCCTCCCCACTACCCTTCCCAGTTTCTGATTATCATCATGCTACTCCCTCCATGAGATCATTTGTTTTAATTTTTAGCTACCATATATGAGTGAGAACATGTGAAATGTGTCTTTCTGTGCCTGGCTTATTTTACTTAACATAATGTCCTCCAATTCTATCCATGTTGTTGCAGATGACAGAATTTTATTATGTATTCTTTTTTTTTTTTTTTTTCTTATGGAGACAGGGTCTCACTCTGTTCCCCAGCCTGGACTGCACTGGGGCAATCAGGGCTTACTGCAGCCTTGACTTCCCTAGGCTGAAGCATTCCTCCACCTCAGCCTCCCTGGATGCTGGGACTACAGGTGCATGCTACCATGCCCGGATGATATTTTATTTTTTTGTGTATATGTACATATTTTCCTAACCCACTCATCTGGTGATGAACACTTGGGTTGCTTCTATATCTTGGCTATTGTGAATAGTGTCGCAGTAAACATGAGAGTGCAGATATCTCTTCAATACACTGATTTCTTTTCTTTTGGATATCTACCCAGCAGTGGGATTGCTGGATTGTATGGTAGTTCTATTTTTAGTTTTTTGAGGAATATCTACTGTTCTCCATAGTGTCTGTACTAATTTACATTCTTACCTACAGTGTATGAAGGTTCCCCTTTCTCCACATCCTCATCAACATTCATTATTACCTGTCTTTCCGATAAAAATCATTTTAACTGGGTAAGATGAATTCTCATTGCAGTATTGATTTTATAATTTTTGATATCATTCTTAATTGGATTCAAACAAAATTATTTAGACAGTAAACTTACCTCTCTATATATAAGATAATACATGTATAAAAGTTATTCATTATGACATTGTCTTTAAAAATAAAAAATTGGAAACTCAATGACCATCAATAGGGAGAGAAATAAGTTATGGTATAGCCATTCAATTGAATGACATGCAAATGTTTAAAGAAAGAAGAATGCTTTCTACCTAAAGCATTCTAAAGTAATTCATTACATTGTTGTCTGTAATAGAAAATATTAGAAACTATATCAAGGTCCATCAATGGGGAATAG